ATCAAATGCCAGCGTATGGGCTACAGAAAATTAACTCGAACTTTTCTTGCAAGACAACAAAGCCTTCAAAAACATCTTGGGCATTCTCTTCCTCCAGATTGCGTGCCAATTTCGTAGTAATAATCCAACAGCCATCTCGTCCAGATTCCGCCCAGGCTCAAAAGCTTCACATCAACTGCGGCTATCGAATTCGCAAAGGTGTGACGGGCCCGCTTGAATGCAGCCATGTTGCATCATGCAGGCTCAGTACGCCAATCTGACAGCGGTACCCGGCGGCTATAGGGTCTGTAATTGTTCGTTCCAGCCAGAGTCACGAGGCTCCGCACATAGTCTTCAAGTCCATTTGCAGCATCGTACACATTGAACCGGCCGGAGTACAAGTTGTCGCAATGCGCATACCAGAGCAGTTGATCGCCGACATCTCTGATCATTTTCATCAGATCCGCCAAGTCGCCGGTGTGAATCCGCAGCATGGGAGCGCTGCCAATACCTACGGCATTGTAGGCGTCAACAACCGTTGCAACACAGCTCACCTTACACGTTGTAGTCTGGTGACCGGTGCACACAGAGTACTGGCTAGCACGCGTAAGTATCTCGTGGAAGATGCGGTGCATGTAATCGACTCCTCTCTGCCTCAACTGAGAAATGGTTTCTGAGACCATCGGTCAGAACATGCTAAAAAGAAAAGTCGTGGGGTGAGTTCAAGGTTGAACTTACTCATGACCTCGTCGGTATTCCAGGTACCTCGAAGTTGCAAGGGCAGATCATCCAGGCCCAACAGCTCACCCTTGTCGTTGACGCGATACCAGTAGCTCATTCGAAAGATGATAGTTTCGAAATCTGCCCTCATCCGAGTTTCCCAAGCAAGCCAGAGGAGGAGATCCACGTGCGGCAGGCTCATGACAGACCAATCCCATTCATGCCATCCGAAAAATTGATAGCGGGCCGTCCAGTGCAAGTACCAAGGTAGAAAGATTCGCATCATGTCGTACTTGTCTGCCGTAAGTAGAAGATCATGCAACTCATCGATGGAAATCTTTTTCGGTATGTTCTCCCATCGGCCATGAGTCATGGACAAGAGGAAGAACAGCGGCTCGATATCGTCATCTGGTAGGTTCACGACCCACTTTCTTCCCGGCTGTTGTTGACTTTTGACTCAGCGAAGTTTGTCCGCAACATGGCACGGAAGACGGGGGAATATATCGCGGCGAGGTTGGAATTGATGACGATGGCCTTGGCTGGAGTCTTCACAATCTCAGCTCCTTCCAGTTCGGAGATGGTAGTGGTGGACATCGACAAGAGGTCGGCAATGTCTGTTCCGTCCAGCTGAATCTCACGGTCTCCTTCGTTCCCGCATCTTGGATGTTCGTCGTCTGATTGAGCCGCACCGCCACCAATGTTCAAGGTGACATCTCCAAACTGCTTGTCGCGCAAGATTGCCATGTGGTATACTTCGTTAGATGGCCCTATGAGTTCATCCAGGGATCGCCACATATCGTCATCGTCGCTGTCTGGGGATTCGTTGCCATTGCTGCTAGACTTGGCGTGCGATGAAACAATCTCTGGCACGGTAGCGTCCTGGATGCTAACTATGCCCTTCTTGAGGAGTATGGCATTGATTATGTCCCAAAACTTCCCCAAAGAACGATTCTCGGCCGCCCAATTCGTGTTCGCATAATACGTGGTCGCCCGACCCGTGGTCGTCCTATGCACGTCCGCATTAGTAGAAGGAAGGCGCAAGGCCGCCTGATGGATGCCTACCTTTGCATGGCTGGATCGGTCTCCAGAGGGCAGGCACCGCTTTGTCGTCTGTGGGAATTGACGTTTCTGCAATGCGTTTTGCGTTGCGATGTCTTCGAACTTGTTGAATATTTTGAGAAGAGATAGATTATTACAGCTATATTAGCAGAGGATAACGTATACTAGTAAATAATAGAAGAATAATATTTCTTTAAATTTATTATAGTTTTAAAGAAAAAAACGTTTATTTTAAAACTTATAGATATTATCCTCTTTTTTTCTAATAAGCTAAGTAAAGCTATTATTACTCTTAAAATAGTAGTTATAGAGGTAGTAAATATAGTATTACTTTAGTATTTTAGTATAATAAGTTATAGTAGTGTAAAGAGGGAGATACTTATTCTCTAGCGATTCGCGCTCTCTTTATATACCCCTATAAGTAGCTATAGAGGTTTCTCTATAAAGCTTAGGCTATCCTAGCCCTTAATTATTCCCCGTGAGAGTTATACAGTAGTCAACAAGGTGCGCCTCCAGGCGGCAAACTGCGGAAGAAAAGTTAGAAGGGAAGAAAGGAAGGAAAGATTGCGTTGTTTTGAAGATTTTTGGGCAGGATGGAGTTGTGGGAAGGATTGGCGGGTGAAGTCATGGCACAAGGTGAAAATCTCAGTCGGACTCGTGAAAAGTCGCCCGGTGAGGAAGGTAGCGGGTACCCTCTTTCCGTCTGTCTTCCGTTTGAGCAAACCAGTCCACCATCAGTCCGCGTCTCTGCAGCTACCAGCCTTTCGAGACAAAGGTCAGGTTTTTGGGTGCAAAAGAACTCGAATGAGATGGAAGCCAACGAAGAGCTAGCGTCAATCTCGGGACGGTCAGGAACCGGGTCACAATCTGGCTGCCAATTTCGAAGCAAACCTAACGCTCGGCGTTTTCTCTGCGCGCTGACTTACATTCTTCAGTGAGTTTCCAACAAAACAAAAATTTGACAACCTGTTTCGAAGCACACTGCGTAGGGAATTTCCAGAAATATGATGGTGAACACGCACTCGTCGCAATCCACTTTGTAGCCTCCCATCAAAGTTGCAAAAAACCCTTATATTGAACCCACCAGGTTCTAATAATTAGAGCTAGCCCCTAGAAGTACCGACCTTGCTCTCGTATTCAATCATTCGGATTTGGCCCAGTGGCCTCCACTGCAAGCTAATAAGACATCATAACCGAAGCTGCTGCATGCTACTTTGTTCTCGACAAGCTGTCCACCCCCAAGTTCGACCGAAGCCCCAGTCACCCTTCTGGTCATTCCACTGCTTTCAGATTTAATCCACTGACCAGTGCATTCTTTCGGAGACGATTCTGAGTCTCTGAGTTCAAGCGTGAGCCAATTTTGCGCCAAACGCCCCCAGCGAATTCGTCAATGCCGTGGAACGGGTTGCACCCGGGTATATGTGTCGACACAATCGACTTGGATATCCTCTTAATGATGCCAATGAGCTCCTTCACGGTTCCTAAGAATAGAGGTTCTCCAACGAATCGGAGCCTTCGTATAGCCATCAAAGATGCGACACTGTGTATGATATCGGCGTCGTCGCAGGCCTCTATCAAAGATCCTAACACCATCGCGTCGCACGACTTGTCCCGGCGTTCGCACAGATTTCTGACTCGAGACGAACTGAGTGTTACATTTAGATATCGGATCAGGTGGGAAATGAACAGCCCTCTGGTACGCGTGATGGACTCTACAAAGGATGTCAGCCTGGAGCACGCATAGAGCTTGCCAAGAATTCATTAACCTTCTTGATCAAAGCCTTCAAGACTAGCGTAATAGCATAGTGCAAGCGATGATTGGTTGGTGAGGTCTCCTCGTACGTCAATGCGGGCATTCTCGCAACTCGCCTTGACGTGATCGGTGAAGATCTTTTCATGGCCAATGAGCCAGGCAACATCTTGGGACAGAGAGTGGTGGTCGGGACATTCGGAGATCCATTTCTGCAGCCAACCGGCCAGAATGGGCTTCACGGCGTACTTGTCTATCAGATGTAAGACAATTCGAAGTTCATCGGTGCCAAGGCATTCCGGTATGTAGCTGGAGTATCCATGGGCGGTCGCAACAATGAAGAACATGGCCCAAGGGTTATCGTCAGGCAGGCTTATGACCCAGGGTTCTGCTGCAGGCTTTGACTCGGCGAAGCCGCCGAAGAGAATACAATCGAAAACATCCGAAACTGTGGCCATTGTCTTTGAATCGACTCGGAATCTTCGACTTTCGTGCTTGGTTGGGACAGACAGGTTGTCCAGGCCGGGTTGGATATCAGGCTGCGGCGGTGGTCCTACGACCAGCGTCAAATCTCCCTCGTACTCCGAGAAGATCTCCGCGGTCGGTAAGACAGCTTTCTTCTTCAGGAGCTCCCACATGCCGTCTGTGCTGTAATCGCTATGTTGGTCTATGTCAGAACTCTCGGCTGCCATGATCATGACCTTCTTTCTTCCCCTCTAACTTTTCTTCTTCGCAGTTTGCCGCCTGGAGGCGCACCTTGTTGACGGCCGTATCACTCTCACGGGGAAATATTCGAGGGCCAGGATGGCCTGGGCTTCACAGAGAAACCTCTATGGCCACCTATCTGTAGCCCGTGTCAGCCTAAATTGGACATTGCATGGGACGTTGACGAACCTTGGCTTCCAGCGGCTCTCTATGATGGCTATGTCTAACAAGACTCGTACTGTCGGTAGTCGTAAAAAAAAGTGTTGTCTTATGGTATTGGGACTTTGCGAGTGCAAAGATGGAAGTTGAGGTTAATGAGCACGGTAGATGGTGGCACTGGCAATGCTGAGGAAGGTGCCAGTATCTGCGCGACTGCCATCTTGCCCATATCATTCGTTAACTTCCATGCGTAAAATTGAAGGAGACCATAACTACAAAGGTATGCAACCAGTCTCGCCTCGATTTTCTTCTGCCCGGTGACAGACCAACATTCGGCAGCTACTACCCACAAAGCAACTTCCAGGTTGGAGCGCCTTCACTCTTTCGCATCAATGCTCCAGCAAAGGGTGTTCAAATTTCCATTCTTTGTTATTGAGAACATTGATCAATGTTACCTGCGCACTCAGTCGCGTTTCAATCCCGAATCCGCCATGCCGGGAGGTTTGCCGTCGTCTGGGACCAATAGCCCAGCGCTTCGCGGATCCAAGCAAACTGTTCTCTCTTAATCAAAACCCTCAGAAACCTACAATCTCAGCGAAGACTGCTTGGACGCCTCTGCGAAGCAACGTCAAACACCAGTTTTCTTCGCTTGGGTTCGCAAGTATTCCAAATGGTTGTCAGTCACAGGGGATTCGATGTTGGCCACAAGACTCGCGACCTTATCCTTAATATTTTGCAATGGGTTGCAATAATTGTGGTTTTGATCATCCAATGAGAACTTGATCGATTGAATCGCCGACGATAGGTCGTTGATGCTCCCGAGATACTTGGGCGTGGCGCTCTGCAAAAGTGCCACATCCTGCAGGCCAATCTTGTGAACTTGCTGGATGAGGGAGCCGAGAACCAGCCTGATGCATTGATCCGATGTCATTGGACGGTGGCTGCAGCTGTTGTAGCCATATCTACTGTTGCTTGAGCGTACGCACTTGTCATTCTGCAGTGCAACCTCGATAGCGTCGTAGAGCACTCTGGTCATCTCGTGAATGACCGTTGCTCTGGTCGCGGCGATCGTTTCTATCGTCGTTGCGCATGAGCATACACCAAAACAAGAGCTTCGATTGTTCTTGAATACTTACCGAGGATTCCCGGAGGCTCGAGGAACGTGTAAGTGCTCAGAGCGATGCTGTTGCTGTCAAGTAGCTCTCCCTCGTCATTGATTTTCGACCTGAGCAACAAATTCTTCGCGCAGTTGCAAAAAGTCTCTTCATGACCAAGTTCCCACGAGATCCACATGACAATCTCTTCCCCATCGGCTGATGATGTGTTCGTGGCAGCGTATGGTTGGAACCATGTTGAGGCCCACGGACTTAGAGTCTGCGTCATATCGTACTTCTCGGTAACAACCAACAACTGGCAGAGATGGTCCTGCGGAAGGCTCTTGGGTATGTGTTGGAAGTGTCCATGCACAATACTCAAAAGTAGAAAAACGGGAGAAATAGAGTCTTCTGGCATTTCGATCGTCCATGGCGCATTGTCCTTCGGCCGCGACTCAGCGAAACCACTGAACAGCATCGCACGGAAGACGGAAGACCAGCGTGCAAGGGACCTTGAGCACACAACAAACTCGTACACACGCAACTTCTCGTCGCTGATGTCTCCAACCTTTAGAGTCAAGTCACCACGAGAGTCAAAGTAGAAAGCAGTCCCGCCAGCGAGTGATTCCATGGCCGGTTTGATACATTCCCAGATGGCTGGATCTTGGATATAGCTGAAGTTCAGTGACCTGTATGTCGAAGAGCGACTTTGTCAGTTTTCGCAGTATATGAGCTTTCTGTAATACTTACAGGCTCCATTGCTTCTTGCTCTCATCCCTCGTAAATCCTGATGGCGGACCAAAGATGCTGCCCAATGTTTCATGGACTTGGCTCATGGTGTCGCACTTAGTTGTATGAGGGCAGCAGGATACCGAGTAAGTAAAGATCTAGAGACGCGTTGCTTGAAACATGTGGTAGAACCGAATGGACGTAATACAACGGCTGCTGTGTGCATCTTTATAGTGTGCCGCGATGTTGGGCACCCTTGTTGGGTGACAGCTAAGGAATGGCAGGGCTTGGGTTCATGGCCAATCAGTCATTTCAACAGGTATCGGGGTTCGAGGCTAATGCAGGAGGCCTACCATCGACGATCAAGCTTTGAAATCGGGGATGCGACAACCAGTGGAGTAGAACAACAATGACCGATCTTAGTCCTATGGGGGAACATGCATGCATTATCATATCGTTCCAGTTGGGAGGCAAAGCAGCTGCGACATGCATTGGGCAGACCACAATGAGATTCCCCTCATCACCTCGCCGGTGACATTTGTACTTTACTCATCAGCACAGAATATTGTGTGCATTCTTTTCAAATTTAATGATAAGATCGTGCAACTAATGATAGGTCAGCTAGGGTTGTAGGTGTCGAGTATTGATGCAAATAGCCTCCCGAGCCATTTGAAAACGAGTATCCACGACCACAATAACGACAATTACGGCGAAGATGATAAAGACCACTAGTATTTCTCATGACAGCAAGTCAATTGAAGCCGCCTGAGTATGGAGAACATAGTGTACCTTATCCAGCATTGCTTTTACGAACTAGCTCCGTCCTTGTTAAGAGCAACGAATGGGTCATCCATGGATCTCTGCAGGTTTCTACTTATCCAGTCCCAGAATAACACCTTCCGCTAGCCACAGAAATCAACAAGACATTTTCACCGTTGTCTTCGTCCCTGTGATCCGCATTGGCGGAGCAAAACAAGACCTGCCTGGCTGAAGAAAAAGCAGCCAACTGAACATATTTCTAGAAAGACACAACCAAGACGTTCTTATTCGGGTTTTTTCATAACCGCGAACGGTGTCTATCAACTCCTCCTTCTTGAACGCAGTCTGCTCTATCTAAACACCTGTCTTCTTGGCCTGGTTTCGCAAGTATTCAAGGTGCGTCTCCGTGACTGGGGACGACAAGTTGTCGACCATCTCCTCAACTTCTATTTGGACAATAATCCAGTGGTCACAACTATCGTGGCCCTCAACGTGTCCGTTAACATCTTCGAGTAGGATCAAATCCGATAGATCATGAATACTCCCGAGATACGAAGAGAAGGTGGCGCGCGGCAGAACAAACTCCTCCAATCCCATTTCTCGAATACGGCGAATAATTCTGCCAAGAAATAGGTCGTCGCAGTCCTCTTTTGTTATGAAGGCGGATCGATTCTCGAACCTAACGTCAGAGCAATTGCAATGGCGTGTCTCTGCAAGTTCTTCCTCACAGCGACTCATTGTAAGGGAGGTCTTCATTGCTCGGCGGAGACAGTTGATCATCCTCTCTATGAGTTCTGCTCGCTTGATGGAAATGTTTTCTGTAAGTCCTGATCAGTCTATAAGTCAAAAAGAAATGTTGGTAGTGGTTCGGCGGACAGGAACATTAGCCGATGGGGTTCATACCAAGAATACTGGAGGGCTCCAGGCATGGAACTGTGCTCAGAGGCACACCGTGGATGTTGATGAGCTGACCAGAATCGTCCACGCGACAGTCCCACAAGATGTCCTTGAGCATCTTGCAAAAGCTAGCTTCGCAACCTAGCTCCCAGGCAATCCACACGTCGCGGTATTGGCCCGTAGTGTTCTCGGAGTTGTCAAGGGGCAAATTCTGAACCCACTGAGAAGCCCACGGTCGAAGAACATGTGTCATATCGTACTTCTCTGTCACTATCAAGAGGTCAAAGAGCTCATCGCGTCCCAAAACCATCGGTATGGGCTGGTGAGTGCCATGAATGATCGCCAGGATGAGAAAGACGGGAGCCGCCCTGTCCTCAGGCAGTGCAACTGTCCACGTACCGTCGCGAGCTAAAGAGACAGACTCTGCGAAACCGCCGAAAAACATGGCGTTGAAGACCTTGGACCATCGCGCAACAGTCCTCGAACAGACAACGAATTCGCGTCCGCCTTCGTGAAAGGCTTCGCCCACCTTCAGAACCAAGTCGCCACGGGAGTCGAAGTAGAAGGCCTTGCCACAAGAAAGGGACTTCATTGCATCTCCAAGGCAGTCCCAGCTGGCACCCTTGAACGCCAAAGCCGCAGAGGGGGGCGAGATGAAGGCGGCATCGTCATGCATGGTGTGGCTATCTGCCTCATCATTTGCAGCTGATGATGTTGTAGTGAGGATGCCCTGGTCTTCGAGGGTGTCTGTCGCTTGCGGCTGCGTTCCGTCAACTTGCAATCCTTCATCTCTGAGGCGGATCGATTCATAAGTAAGAAGCAGCCAAAGGCATTCGGATTGGAGGCCTGCGGTGGCTTCCTGTGCAGATAAGAACTCGGCGACTGCATCCGTCCGAGGAGATCCTGTGCACCTCTTCTTTCTGTCGGCCATCTTGTGTTGACGGTGTAAGGTTGATCAGCTGAAGAGACAAATTCCGATCACGTCAGAAGGAGAACTTCTTCAAGACTTCTTCACGGGCAGGAGCTGCGCTTATGATATTCCCCCCTTAGGAAGGCAAGATGCTGATTCATCTAGATCTTTCTCTCCTAAGTCACGCAGCTCATAGGAAAACAAGTGCCCTCAAACATGATGGCCTTACAACATGGACTATAGTCACATTTCAAGACCATAGAATAATGGGATAGTTTAGATAAAAGGAAGCTTGCATTATGATACCGACTGCCTAAGCGCCATTGTCACCCTCCTTCATGGATTCCAACTCCTTCCAAAGCAACCTAGAAAGACATGAATGAACTCGTTAGCGCAACTTCAGGTAAGACTTCTTTGCCAATGCTCTCTTTTGGGCCAACAACCTTCTTTCTTCCGCAGAGTAGAGTCCGTCTCCGGTCTTCTCTCCCAGTCTTCCTCTTGAGATGTAGTTCTCCTCCAACCAGTCCGTGTACCCCGCCTTCTTCGGATCCACGACGCCCATGTTCACCCTGTTCCGCTCCACCTGCCAAACCGTGTCTAGGCCAACCTCGTCCATCTTCTCGCAAGGTCCCTTTTCGGCGTGGAAGAAGTCTCGGAATAGCGCGTCGATGTCTCGGGGCGAAGCCAGCTCTGCCTGAAGGACACGCAGGGTGTCTGACTTGACCGCAGACCAGATGCGATTGAAGACAAAGCCGACGGACTCATGGGGCAACGCAAGCGGGTTGAATCCTACGCTCCGCATCTGCTCTTTCAAGAAGGGCATGAGGTCCTTGTCGGTGGCTCCGCACGTCATCAGCTCCACGTAGGTGTTGCGTGGCGGAAGATGGTAATGGGTGTTGAGAAGGCGTTCGGGGCGAGAGATGAGCGTCCTCAGTGCAGATGTCGGCCATGTTGAGCTGTTGGAGGCAATAATGCAGTCTTCTGGCACCAGGGAGTCGACTTTTCCAAGCATCTCGCGCTTGATTTCAGGGTCTTCAGGCAGTGCTTCGATGACCATCCAGGGGTTGGCGCCGCAAGACTCTTCGAGAACAGTGCTCGTCGTGACGCGGCCGGGATGTGACTCGCGGACCGCGCAAACAGTCGTCAGGGCATCGCCAACATAGACGACAGCAGACGAGAGCGCCTTCTCATTGATGTCCTGCAAAATGACGGGCCGACCAGTCGAGGCCCACATCACCGCCAGTCGGCGGCCAAGGACCCCCGCGCCGAGAACCACCACGGGCCGAGAAGTGGGGTCCTTCGGCGGCGTCCATTTCGGGATCGGGTGCTCTGTCTTCTCAGGAGAATGGCTTGAGTATGGGCGAGTTTGATGTTGAAATGAGGATAAATTTGATTGCCGGCATTGAGTTGTAAGTCGGGCTTTCGGGGGGAGTGCTGCTGTCGCCGCCGGCAGAAGTCTGCCGATGGGCGCGGGCTTCGTGATGCTTCGGTTTATGAGAGCGCTTGTGGTGGGCTGAATGCGCCATAGCTGTTGGCATGTCTTTCTTGAAGCCATTGTCGATGGTGCTGTCTTAGCGTCGATTTCGATTCTGGGGAAAAAGTGGCCATTTTATGTCAATGGCAGAGCCGTTGCGCTCGCCCGATGATGATGGCACTGTCGCCTGATGGGAGTGGTCTGGGGAGTGGCGTGATGTTGTCGGCCAACGCTGGGCTGACCATGATCGCCAAGTTCGGGTCTTCGCGGCTCGCGTTCCAATTGCATAACACAAATGGGGGCTTTCCCCAGATCTCCCCGGAAGAGACTGGTCATCTGCCCGCTCTGTCGATGCGGTTCATCATCGCGCCCCGCTCGCTCCCGTCATCCGCTGCGCCATCCCCGGATGGCGCAACTTGAGAGTATTCTCGAACATGGCGGGAGAGGAGAGGAGCACTTTGCAACAATACCATGCGATATTTTCGCAAATAGCAATCACTGATGTTGTTCGACATCTGTTCACCAGTGAGTGTTTTGAGCGCAAAGCAATTGATCTACCCAGGGCACATCTGTCACCCGAAAACCAGCCACGGCGCCACACCTATATCAGCCACGGCTACGTCCTCGATGAAGATGTTCTTCCCTGCAAGAGCCCAAAAGCCCGTCAGGGTGGAAGTGGTGCTTATCTCTTCATCAGGGTAAGTCCATGTTACCAAAGTGTTTTCTCTCTGTTGCGGTGCCCGCCTTTTCCTTTGCCTGAACAGCTTGACAGCGAGGCAAAGAGGCTCCACGTGTGACGTGTTTCCGCGATCTGCAGCCAATAGCTTCATGGTTTGGAATATCGGATGGTCCTGTCAGCCTCCGATATGGTGTAATGGCTAACATTTGACGCTCTCACCGTCAAGCTCCGAGTTCGATTCTCGGTGTCGGAACAGTTTTTTGATCTTTCGTACATGTCCCTCATGATCTTATCCGTTCATGAGGGAGATGATGGTTTTGATGGCCGGAACACTGCCGTGCTGTTGTGCTGTGCGACGGCACATCCACTTTGCTGCAGGTGGCTCGTGCGTGTTGCTGGCGCCGAAAAATCTCCGGCAGCATGGAGCAGCGTCTTTTTTCCACCACGATACTGTATTGCCTCCTAAATCACCCACAGCCTGCGCGACAGAGTTGCACGACTCTTTTCGGATCGAAAACGCGCCAGTGGTCTTGAAAAGGGCTGCATAGGGCTCCCATATGTGTGGCATTCACGTCGTCGTCTCGCGCGACGACTCCCTGGCACTTCCCACAGAAACACGCACCTGTCTCTGCAAACGCGGTCCGGACCATCTTGGTGAAGTTCGCACCCAAGCAGTACCCTCTAGCGCCGACGCGCAACCCCTGCATTTGACCTTCACATCAACGGTGCTGGCTTTGCGCGGTGACCATGTCACCAAGCAACCGTTTCGCGACGCGTCGTCGGGCTCGGTGCTGTGCTGGAACGGCGAGGCCTGGAAGATTGGAGGCAAGCCCGTTGAAGGCAACGATGGCGAGGCCGTCTTCGCCCTGTTGGTAGCGGCCAGTAGCCGCGCCGCGGGCGAAGATGCAGTGCTGGACGCGCTCCGCACGATCGAAGGGCCATTCGCGTTCGCCTATTACGACGCGTCGTCATCTCGGCTCTACTTTGGCCGCGACCGTCTCGGGAGGCGGTCATTGCTACTCAATCGAAAGGATGGATTGAGGCTGTCTAGCATCGCGGAGAGCACGTCGCTGGATTGGTCTGAGGTCGAGGCGGATGGCATCTACGTGGTTGACCTTGCATCACTTGACAGCGATCCGAATGTTCCCTTGGCACCTCGGCCTTGGTCTGATGAGGAGGAGGGTACGGTAAGTCATGGGTCACCATGGGATGGGTCTCGTTTTGCTACTTACGATGATAGGTCCTCAACATTGGTGTCTTCAACACCACAATACCGCCATCGGACGTCCCGCCGCTCACTGCGACCTCTTCATCGGTCCAGGCGCTGCGAGAACAGTTGACTGAATCGCTCAAGCTGCGCGTCTTGAACGTGCCGGAGCCACCGGCCCATGATGCAGGAAACGAGACGCGAATCTCTGTACTATTCTCAGGTGGCTTGGACTGCACGGTCCTGGCGCGCATGGCGAGTGACCTGTTGCCGCCGGAGCAAGGCATCGACCTCATCAACGTTGCTTTCGAGAACCCCCGTCTCGCGTCGAAGGCGGAGAACTCTGCCGCTGGCGTTAACCTCTACGAGGCGTGTCCCGACAGAATCACCGGCAGGAAGTCTTTCGCCGAGCTGGCCGCAGTCTGTCCGGAGCGTCGGTGGAGGTTCGTTGCCGTGAGTCCATCCAAACCGCTTCGAGCGTTCAAATTCTAATCTGGAGCAGGTCGACATTCCTTACCAAGAAGTCCTCGCCCACCGGAGCCAAGTGATCTCCCTTATGTACCCCCACAACACCGAGATGGATCTCTCTATTGCCTACGCACTGTACTTCGCCGCCCGGGGCATCGGCAAGTCCCAGAGTCACCCCTCCGACACCGCGGTCGACTACGCTACCCCCGCGAGAGTACTCCTCTCCGGCCTCGGAGCAGATGAGCTTTTTGGCGGCTACGTTCGACATGCCACGGCATTCTCAAGGAGAAGCTACCCAGGTCTGCTGGAGGAGCTCAAGCTCGACGTCGGCCGCCTCGGAAAACGCAATCTGGGTCGCGACGACAGGGCTATGGCTCACTGGAGCCGCGAGGTGCGGTTCCCGTACCTGGACGAGGACTTCGTCAGGTGGGCGATCGAGTGTCCGGTGTGGGAAAAGTGCGACTACGGCCGCGGCGAGGTGGAGGGAGAGATCGAGCCTGGGAAGAGGGTTCTGAGGCTTCTAGCGGAGGCACTCGGGATGGCTTCCGTTGCTCGGGAGAAGAAGAGAGCTGTAAGTCCCTCCCTGATGGAGAGTTGATGGAGTCAAGCAGACGGCTTACCATTAGCCAGATCCAATTCGGTTCAAGAACCGCCAAGATGGAAAGCGGAAAGACCAAGGGCACCACGCTCATCGCCCCTTGATGTTCTACTCGGGTTGCAAGTGCATCCGAAAGCTGGCTGTGATGATCCACAGATACTTCCGAGCTGGTGGTCGCCGAAGCCATGCGTCCAGCGCTGTGCGTTTCTGCATCGCAGTAACCCTTCGCAGGAAGGCATGCGCCTAGGCTCTATAAATAAGGCTACCAGCAATGACGTCGTAAAGGCAAGTCTGAGCCAGCATGCATTGATAGAGATTCAGTGGGTATGTACCACATGCCGGAATAGACCTTTTGTTTGCGTAGTGATTATGACAAGGGCAAAAAAGCAACAAGACTAGCTGGCAATATGAAGTGGATTAGAATGTAATACCTTGCAAGCCTTTTCTTTTCGGTTCCCATTTTACTTCCGACTGGTCTGCTTAGCCACGTGAGAATGGCAACAGCACCACCATCAGGGAATGAATGCTCTTTCAAATGGTTCGAAATACGGAAGGACTTCACAATACTGAACCATCAATATACATCAAGTCTCCACGACATGCACAGCTTCATCCAGCCGAATGTCCCATATCGTCCTTGCTAACCTTGTCAAGCCCATGCTCTCCGACTCCACCCATGTTGTCGGCCGTTAGTCCTCAGACGCCAGTTTTCACCGCTTGGTTCCTCAGGTACTCCAAGTGCATTTCTGTAACCGGAGAATTGGCTTTTTTTACTAAGTTTTGGACTCTGGCCTGCGTGGCTGGTAGTGGATTGCAACTCAGATGCTCCCCAGGCAGGCTGATTCTCATAGCGTTGATCGACTGTAGCAAAGCGTTGATGCTTAGCTTAATGTGAGGTACTGGCGTCTTCATCAACGCCACTTCTTGCCCCATCACTTTCTTAACTTGCTTGACAAGAGAGCCGAATACTAGAGTGTTGCACATGTATGCTGGCAAAGTCAACGATAGATTATCCAGAGCCACCCATCCTTCGGTGGCACCTGACTTCTTGCAGCTAGTACATGTTGAGCGGAAATTTTTGGTGATGTTGTACCTTGTTTTGCATTCTGGGCATTCACGGTACTGAGCCAAACCCCGGCATTTTGGCTGATTGAGCGCCACATCAGTCATACTAAAAATGGCTTTGATCATTTGGCTGACAAGCTCTTGCCTGTGCTTTGTGACTGTCTCTGAATGAAAGTCAGGGAGAAATAATTCAAAGAATTGGGAAGAGACGTACCGAGGATTCCGGGTGGCTCTAAACAGCTGTATGTGCTAAGGGCGACCCCATCGTGGCCAACTAGCTGTCCCTCGTCGTTGACCGAGGAGCTGAGAAGAAGGTCCTTTGCAAGCGAGCGGAAGTTCTCTGCATATCCGAGTTCCCAGGAAACCCAGAGAAGTATCTCGTTGCCCTTGATTGAAGAAATCTTCTTGTATGGCTTAAACCACTGAGCCGCCCACGGCCGCACTATCTTTGTCATGTCGTATTTCTCCGTCACGGCTAGCGTCTGGTACAGTTCGAATTGACTCAGTGATGTCGGCACATGCTCGAAGCAGCCGTGTATGATGCTCAGGACAAGGAACATAGCTGAGGGAAGGTCTTCGGGTAGGCTGACGCTCCAGACGGCGTCAGCAGGCCTTGACTCTGCGAAGCCACCGAAGAGCATGGTGCGGAACACTGGTGACCACCGAGAGAGTGTTCGGGAGCAGACGACGAACTCGTAGGCGACTCCATCCTCGCCAACTCTAAGGGTCAGGTCGCCAATCGGGTCGAAGCTGAAGGCCTTGCCGCACTCAATCGTCGAGGTGGCGGGCTTGAGGCACTCCCAGAAGGGTACAGGCTCGGGTTTGTCTTCCTTGACATTGGCTACACTCATGCCGTCATCATCAGACATCGTTTCTTCTCTCGACATGTTTGCGGCTTCTCTGGAATGTTGTAGAATGAGTTCGAGGTTCGATATGGGGGAAGCGGGGAAGGCGAGCTCACACGAGGCACTTTGGTCCGCAATCGGTGGTGGTCCGTGACGCGTTTGACGTTGGGCGGGTTGCCGAATCGTGCTCGGTATGGAGTCGGCGGCCGGGAAGAGTACCGTATGTAAGCCAGGAGAATCAGTAATTCCTGGGCTGTTGAGATTCACTGATCCAACAAAACAGTCGTATCTGGAACCCTTCGATAAAGCCTAGACTTGAAAAGCTTTTCTGGTCGACGGGCGTTTCCCAACGCAGGTTTGAAAACAGTAACAAAGCATGAACTTCCAGTGTCACCAGCAAGCGGGCGACCGCCGGAGAAGTGGGTCTAGGCGTGCACCAAGGCTTCGCATACAAGACCACCAGGAATGACGCCGTAAAGGCAAGCTTGAGCCAGCATGGTTGATCTCGTAGAAGGGTAGAATGGTATGTGAACGGCCTATCATACAGTGTCCAAGAACAGCATTAGAAAACAGTGGATGAATATCGGAGTTCTTTTGCCTCGTCGGCCACAAACTCTTTCATTTCTACGATTGAAACATCACCGCTGAACGACAAACAAAACCCGCTTCGAGGTCATCGGTATCAACAACCAGTTAACATTGGGCCAACGCACTTGCAATCGGGCTGGCCAGAATGATGCAATTCAATCTGTGTCTGGTCTCGGATGTACATTATTTGGCTGGGTGTCCATGAACTTGGAACTCAGCGATCTCAATCCTATCAGCGTCCCATATCGTCCTTGCTACCATCGTCACTCCAATCCCAATCCAACAAATAGACCGTACTGACACCCCATACCATGCCTTAGATGCCGGTCTTCTTCGCCTGCTTGTCCAGGTATAGGATGTGCGCATCCGTGATGGGGGCAGAGACACAGTCCACCAGCTTCTGCATTTCGTCCTTCAGCGCTGGCAGAGGATTGCACTCCTTGTGCTCTTCAGGAAGATCGATGGTCATCCCCTGTATCTCCGCGGAAAGTTTGTTAACACTTAGTAGACATTCAGGTGTGGGTGTCTCCAGAAAGGCCACATCCTTTAGGCCGAGACCTGCGACGCGCTTGGAAAGAGAGCCGAAGACCAAATCCCCACAGAGTCTTTGTGACAGATGGAAACCCTTCGTCGTTCCCCGTTTGCATTTGCATTTGATGCACCATGTTGAATGAGCAATATCACCGTGGCCGATGATGCATCCACAGGTATTGCATCGAACGGTTGGCTTTCCATTGCACAAGGGAGCTGTGTACAGTCTCTGGATCGTATTGTAGAGTAAGGTTGTGATATCACCTATCAGAACCTTTCTACCCTGTGCGATGCTCTCTGAAAAATGATAAGCTGAATGAAAAAGAAGTTGATTAGTTTGTGTTAGGGAGACATACCAAGAAGTCCAGGAGGCTGCAGGAATGGCGAATCGCTCAAACGACTCAAAGTGATTTCATCCGTCACAAGCTCTCCCTCGACATTGATCGGCTGCTGGAGCATTATGCCTCTCGCAAACCTAGAAAAGGCATCTTTGTGTCCAAGTTCCCAAGATGACCAAACGAGTGAAAATGCGTTCTGACTGTTGATAAGACTTCTTTCCTTGTAGGGAGCGAACCAGGTCGAAGCCCAAGGGTTCAATATCTTGGTCATGTCGTACTTTTCCGTGACAACTAAGACTTCGTGAAGTTGGTACTCCTTGAGCTCCCTGGTCACAAGCTGGAAATGGCCGTGAATGATGCTCAAGACGAGTAAAATGACAGAAGGGTCGTCGTCTGGAAGTTGAATGGTCCAGGCGGCGCTATCTGCAGGCTTGGATTCAGCGAAGCCTCTGAACAGCATGGCTTCAAAGACGGGCGAACTGCGGCGGAGTGTGCGCGAACAGACAAGAAAGTGGTAGGCTGAACGATTTCCGCCAACTTTGAGAGTCAAATCGCCGTGAGTATCGAAGTGGTATGCCTTGCCAACCTTGAGGGGCAACATCGCGGCCCGGAGGCCGGGCCAGAGAGGGATCACGAAGACGGGAATATGTTCGCTTCCTTCACCGCTGTGGCCGGGTATCGACGGATTGGTCACCCTGGCTACCACAAGATCAACCGAAGTATTGGGCATTGTGATTTCTGAGAGGAAGTATCAGTTATTGATCGTTGGGTGCGCGAAAATGGCCAGGCGGATGGAAGGCGAACAAGTGATATTGCTACTTACTGAGACCGCTGGCGACACGACTTCTGTGGCGTCACAACACTATTGGTGTTTTGCTGTAACCGAAAGGTTGATGTTTGCTGAAAACGCTGTAGAGCTTAGCTCGAAGGGTGAAGGGAAAAGAAGGTTCCGGGACTTTGACCCGAAGGGAAGTTGATCTCTCAAAGCCGGCTCTTTCTGTGATTCCTGTGACCGAGTAGAAGACACGTCGCGACGCAGGGATTTCAAGACCTTACAGTCGAAAATTTCAACGTGAGGACTCCTTGTGCATGGAGGGAAATTTCTCTTCTGATTTTGGAAAGGAAGGAACAGCCCGGCTGTCCAAGCCACTGCCTGCACGATGGTCTCCAGGCCTTCGACCCACCCCCACCGCACCACTCCAACTCTCACCTTCGATTCTCACCTTCGAATGTATCTTGGTTTTTACCTGGAACCTCTCCCCGACTTTTTTCTGCCTCTTGCTTTACCAATAACCTCGAGTCAACATCGGCCTTTGTAGTCGCGTTTATCGCCACATCCATCCTCGTCCTCAATACCGTTGAAGTTGATCTACTGCATCCGCCTCTCACGTTCTCTTCACAACCAACCTACCTCTCGCAAAACACATTCGTCTTCTTGGCCAATGCGACTACGTCAAGATGTCCGCTAACGGGAGGCCATGGCACTGGCTGAAGGCATCCATGGAAGCGCCGGATGCCTTTATCATGGACCCTCACGGCGACTTACGCCTGCGAATCACCGCCGGCAGCAGCAATGGCGACGAGAAAGACCACGATCAAGAGACAACTTCCGAGAACGAAATCAACACGGACGATTCGATTGAAGAGGATCATCAGTTCCTCGTCTGCTCCAGGACACTGGCCCGATCCTCTTCCGTTTTCGACAAGATGCTTTTCGGTCCCTTCGCCGAGGGACAATGCGGCAGCGACAGGACAATCGACCTCGACGACGCCATTGAGCCCATGTTTTATGTGCTCTCCATTATGCACTGCCAATGGGCACGTGTCCCGAGACGCCCTACCTTCGAGGAGCTCTTCGATCTGTTGGTCTTTACCAACAAGTACGATATGACGGGCATCCTTCGTCCTTGGGTCAACAGGTGGATGCCTCCATTCGAAAGGATCGCTGGATATAGCGACATGTCGAAAATGGCGTGGATTGCTTGGGAGATTGGTGCCGAGAAGATCTTCGCCAGGGCTATCAACAAGGCTGTACTTCAGAGTCGTGTGAATGAAGAAGGCGAGGTGTTGAATGCCGATGGCGAGCTGATGAAGACGAATGTCCATGCTGATTTAGCTGGCATCATAGGTGAGCATCAACCAAGGCATTCTGAAGACACGACTAACCAAAACGTTAGATCTCATTGCCCGAGGCAGAAAGGATATCGTATCCCGTGTTCTTGAACCTCTGCAGCAGTACGCCAAGGACATTTTGGAAATGGGGGCATGCTCCGTCATCACCGGTGACCCCGAAGAAGCCGACAAGTGCGACACCACCATGATGGGCTCCATGGTTATTGGTCTCAGCACAGCGGGAATCGGTGCTGGCCCACTGGTCTCGGGGCGAGATCTTGTCTACTTAGGAAATGCTCGTGAACTGCTCAATGCGCTCGGCGAAATGTACAATCCAACCTACAGTTTTCATCCGTGCGATCCGATTGGAGATGCTCGTGCCCTGGCATACAACATTGTCAACGTCGATCTAATGCCCTCGCCGGTAACTAAGAACCAGCGGGAGCGTCTTGAAAAGCGGGCCAGAATCAGTGGTTGGACGCGCGAGGACTGAAGGATCATGTCAGGGAAGGAATCAAGAACAGCTGAACTGGTGACAGAGAACGAACAATACCGAGGAATCGTGCGTGTGATTGGATGACCGTCATAAATATTGGGTGGCACCACGGTCTCGTTCGCTTGGGTTTGCGTATTTCCAGCCATAAGCATGAGCTGTGAAACAGGCATGTGGGAAGCATAATGTACGAGTAACCATGAACATCTCTACCTCAATCCGTCACAGTCTCAATGATTACTCAAAACAATCCATGAAATTCCTATGATATACTTATGCAGCGTCTTCAGGCATTACTTCGCTCATGTCAAGCCACTCCATGGTAAACGCCGTCACAATCCTCGTCCAGTCCCTTACTGTCGGCATGTCTAGGTGCTCACCGTCGTCCTCCGGCCTGTGCCATACGTTAGGGAACGGCGATGGGATCATGTGGAGAATGTTGACGCCCTTCGCCATGAAGGGGACGTGATCATCACCAATCCCGCTACGTCCAAATCGCGCCGGGTCCTTTTCGGCGTCATTCAAGAAAGGGATGGTGGGCTTGGTCTCCAGGATGCCGAGATCGCGCATGCGCTTCTCGAGCTTGGCCATGCTCTTGTACGCCCAGTGAGTCGTCTGGAAGTACGACGGGACCTGCGGGTTGGCTGAGCCCAGGAGGTCGAGTAAAACGAAAATGCTGATCTGCTCGAGGGGGTTCTTGTAGTGAGACATGGCTGGGTTGTATGTTTTCTCCCACTCATCTGCCAATGACCTACTTCATGTCAGCTCATAACCTTTCATCCAGAGACCTCCTGAACTCACCTCGCACCGTACAACGAGTCGGTATCCGTCCACGCTTTGAACGCCTCCTCGCCGTCCAACAACAGAATCTGCAGTCCCATGTCCTGGGGCACCGTCCCGCCATTCTCACCAAGCGCCACCATCTCATCATACATCTGAGTCAGGTACGGATCAACCGCCTTCGCAATGTGCATCAGCATCGCACACGGCGCCGCGCTGTCCGTCGCGCCAATGAAGCCCTCGGGCTCGATCTTGCTGTCATAATGAGCCACGAGGGTGAACCAGTTGGCCTGTCCTAGCTTGTTCCACGGCGGCTCGCGGCGGAAGATGAGATTCTGGAACGGGATCTGCTTGTCTCCCGTGGCGGGCGTCGTGCCGGTTGAGTTCTGCCACTCAATTGACCACTTGGGCAGCTCCTTTCTCCAGAAGTTGACAAAGTGCTCCTGGGTCTTGACCTGGCCGGGCGTGCCTGGCACACGCGGAATGAGGATGGGGGCGAGCAACGGGCCGTTGTGGATGTCGAAGTCGGCCTCATTGATTGTGATGTTGCGCAGCGCGGTGTCCGAAAGGTTCATGTAGGCGCGGACAGAGGCGGCGAACAGGAGGTGCAGCAAGGCTGACAGCCAGAGATGGCCGCCTCCTCTCACCAAAGGGAGGCCGGCCATGGCGGGCTGTGATGGGGACAGCAGACGCGATGGGATCCTCCTCGGGTTCTCATGAACTCATGCTGCGCCCTTCGATGAACAGGAAAGTGAGCCGATGTGTGCGCACGCGTGCGGGATTGGTGGTTCGGTTGATTGATGAGTCGGCGACGGAAGTCCGACGATTTGGATGAGAGTCGTGGCGATGGGTTTTGAGATTCCGAAGAGGTGTCAACTTTTGGACGTTCCCCCGACCGAGGAAGGGATGGCCCAAAGAGGTTAGAGCGAAACTCTCCTGCAACGCACCTCCAAAGGACCCCTGGCTGGTGTTTTAAAACAGTGGGTCTGAGCTGATTAGTAAGGTCGTTTGGAGGCAGGGACCTGTTCCTCGGTCGTTCGGCGCACCTCCACCTGCCTCCAGTCGCCTCCACATCGGCCCGTCGCGCACGTGCCTTCGCGAGCGCGTTTCTGTCCAGCTGTCGCGATCAGGTCCGAAGCATCTGTATCTTGAGCGCGAACTAGCAATAGTGCGTCCTTCGAGCCTGCCACACAGGAACGCGAACATCCCGAGTCCCTCGTTAGCCTCTGACAATGGAAGTCGGCACGTGTGGAAGTTTATCTGGGTCCAAGGGGCTAAGGCCAAACGCCAGCCCACCTCCTTGACTCCTGTCAAAGGGAGCACGATCTTCATGTCGACGCAGGGAGTCATGACAAACAAGCTAATCCAGTATCGTAGGTATCATATGCCATCAATTCTATATCAAATCTTTCAAAGCATTCCCCCGTTCTTTCTCATCGTGATCAACATGAAACCCGAACTCTCCCAAACGCGGCCATGGACGTCTTCATCTACTTCAAGCACCACCACCCGCCGGCTTCATGAACAAGCGTTCCCTCTTGCAGAGCAAGCTGCTCACAAGAACCACTGCGCCAGCGACGATCACCAAGATGTACGGCAGGTTCAACGCCTCGACGATAGCATCCAGGATCTCAGCCTGCATGTCCGGAGGCAAAGTTTGAACAAAGTCTCCTCCAACACCAGCAATGGCAAGCTGGATTTGCTCCTCCGGGACGGTATCCGGCAGAATCTCCGTCAGCCGCTTCTCGGCCCTGTTCAAGAACACAGCATTGCCGACCGCCAAGGCAATGTTGATACCACTCGTCTGGGCCAGTGCCATCATTGACGACGCTACGGCGGCCATCTCCTCTGGCACGCTGGCTTGCGCGATGGAGAAGCCCGCCTGGGTGAACGTTCCGACACCGGCTCCGAGCATGGCCGAGGCTCCATATACCCAAGCCGTGCTTGTACTCGGCTCGACAACGTACATCAGCGACGACGCAGCGACGACAATCGCTCCGCCGACCGTGAACCAGGGGAAGTACAGCCCACCAGATGGATGCGACAGCACGCCGCCCTGGAGAAGCGTGACGAAGACCGCGAGGATGATGAATGGAAGCAGACGCACAGCAGCGTCAATGGCGCTGTCGCCGCGCGTGAACTGGAAGAAGACGGGGATGAAGTACACCGGCACGAAGATGGCACAGCCGCCGGACGCGGTGATGCAGAACATGAGGATGATGGTGCGGTAGTACTTCCTTGACACGATCAGCTCAACGGGAAAGAGGCGACGTTCCTTGGTGGTACCGATGCAGTATGCTTGTTGGAGGCCAAAGACGATGAAGAGCACGCCAGCGACGACGAACAGGGCGATCTCCTGGCCGGAGTCCCAGTCGTACATGACGCCGCCGAAGCTGATGCCCATGGTGAAGCAAATGATGGCACCGAGCATGAGAGGAGCACCAACCCAGTCAATCTCCTTGAGACGCTGCCACAGGGAAGCGCCGGGCTGGGGATCGGGAGAGGGAAGCATCCAGAGGTACACCGGTGCAGCGAGACCTCCAATGGGAAGGTTGATGTAGAAAGCCCATCTGCCCTGATGTCAGTAGATGAAGCTTATCGTCATGCAGGAAACTTACCGCCATGTCGCCCCCGAGTCGGCAAATGCACCACCAACAACAGGGCCCAAGACAGTTCCCAAACCCCATGTCAACCCGATGGAAGCAAGATACGCAGGCCGCTCCTGGATCGTCGTAGTGGCCGCAATCAGCGTCATCACCCCGAGATACATGCCCACGCCACCAAGACCGCACAGCGCACGCCCAACGATGAGAGCATTCATCGTCGGCGCAGCACCACACACCGCGCTGCCCACCTCGAACACGACGACACTCCCGATGTACAGCCACTTGGGCTTGAGATGCGAGTACAGCTGCCCGAAGAGCAAGTTCGTCGACGTGGCAGCCATGATGAAGGCGACAGCCAGCCACGCAATGTCCGTGATGGCATCGAACTGCAGCACGATCTGCGGCTGTACGTCCGCTACGACGGTGTTGTCAAGCGCGAAGAGGAAGGTCGAGGACAGGATGGCGAAGACGACGATGATCCAGCGGATGCCGGTCACGGTGCGGACGGGCTCCGAGGTTGTCTCCTTTGTGGCGCCGCGCTCTGTGTCGGTGTTATCCCCTGAGACGGGTCCCTTGGTGGAGGCATTGTCGGCCTCAGCTTTCTCCAGGGGGCCGCCCGTGGGTGGAGTGACTGGCTGCTTCTCGGTTTCGACGGCCATGATGTCGGTATAGGATGGAGATGAGACAGAGCGAGGGTCTCGGGAGGCTGGCTTGTCGTTCAGCTGGATCGAAGTGAACCGGCAGCCTGGGACACGGCGCGCCCATATATCACCTCCCTCGCCCACCATGAGGCCATCAGGCAAGCTGTCAGCCCAATCTCACGGCCTCGGAATGGGATCATCAGTGTCGTAAGCTGCAGATTGTTCTTGGCTCGTCCACCCGGTCGTCCTCAGTCATTGCACCAAGTCAGCTTCTAACGCGTGCCCAATTCGCCAGCTGGGCTCGAACAGCCTCGTCATCCCCGACCTATCGACGAAGGAGACGTCTCTAACCCTCATATGGTTGCCTCTTTCAGGCAAGCAAGCCCCGAACAACACTCTTCAGGCCATGAAAGCTGCGTGGAGATAAGATCAAAGAAAGCCCATCCCATTCACATATCCGCCCTCAAAGACTGCCTGCCAAAGGCCGCTGCCTACCGAGTGCCTCACAACGCAAAGATACGAGAGCTGCATGAACCCATCCCACCACTTCAGCCAAATCCAAATCATATCCCTAACCCGTCGCATTCGGCCCAACCACCCACCCGGTTGGCCGCCTTTTCTCAGAAACCCTTGACCCGAATTTGCGAAAAGGACCACCTTCAAAACCTAACGCTGACGTCTTGCATCCCAGAAACGCCACAAATGGTGACTCCCAATCCGCACGCACCAACCAGACGCATGACAAACAGCCCTACGGAGACTCCCTCCCGGGACGCGATATCGTGGTCCAATCGTGGCCGTTGAGGCTGAGATAAGCTCGAGCAAACGTGGACAGCACACCGACGCCATAGCTTTGTATCGAACCTCTATCACCGGCAGCCTCGGAGTTTGCCATGAGCTGCTGGAATTTGACGGCGTATTCTTGTCCAATCCTCTCTATTGCTGTCGTCCATCGTGCCCTTTTGCGTTTCGCCAAGACCATCTCCGAAGCGCCAGCGACCGTCCGTCAGCAAGCGCATCAAATAATATGCTCACCAGCCGTCAATATTGCAGCACGTCAATCTCTCCGAATCAGCCGCTGCGCTGGTCTAGACCCAAACGGGACGCACGTAATGTCAGACCAATCGCAGACACGCATACCGGCCCTCTGAATGCGTGACGCTGTAACCTGCAGTTGTTTCTTTCAACCGCGAACACATGACATGCGCGTGGTGCTGACCCGGAACAGCGGTCATTGGCTCTTCACAGCTAACGGCTGTCGGGCTTGTGTGACATGATTCACCTAGGATGGTGCTGACATAGGCTACTGCAAATCAGCCTGTCGTCTAGAAGCGAATGCTTATTTGCTGGGCCGTTATGGTCAGTAAGAACATCATTCGATGGTTCAATGCGCCTTACGCTTTTCAAACAGCGAAGTAGTATTTGAAGAATGCCAAGGCCATCACTTCACCATGACTTTCAGCCACGTAGCTAGAGCAAAAATCAAAACTTTTCAGTGCTATGGACTATCTTCTGCCCAAAATCCTGCGTGCTGCAATGATCCATCTCGCGATATGGCCATTTATGTGGCGCTACATCCTTCGCGTAGAAAATCCTCCCCGTTCCTCAAAATGCAAGCAAATATCAACGTCTTATGCGACGTCTCGTAAGCAAATTTCGTAAGTTGAAGAGAACCAGTCTCCCTTTCAGTCATCCTCCTCCGTCTTGAAGATCACCGAGACATTCTGAGCACCGACTTGATTTCCATCTTGAAGGACCGCGAAGTCGACACTGCTTCCAGAGCAAGTCATCTCGACATTGAACTCCAGCCTGCGAAATACCTTGCCTGTGGGGCTCGTGTAGCGCTTCAAAGACTTCAAGTCGATCTTCTTAGTCCACGTGATGGTGCAAAGCTCATCGACCTCCTTGTTGAATGTCGCGGGCACAGGCCAAGCAGAAGTGGCGTAAATGGTCTCGGAGACTTTCTTCGGGGTCGTCTCCAGCAGGCGGTAAAAGCTATGATTGACTGGATCCACAATTGAAACATCGGTACCCTGTAGATGAGAATTAGTATACATTATTTCTGAGAATCATTTCCAAGGCCTTACCTGTTCAAGGAACCACTCCATCTGGTCTCTCGCCTTCCACTTATGTTCATTCGTGCACCAGTACTTGTCCTTGGGATCATGTACACCGAATTTGAAGGGGGTTGAGTACCTGATACCGTAGCTTCTGCGGGAAATTCTTGAAGCGATACCGACTGAGAGACCAGGTGCAAGGTTGCGAGCAGTCAAACCACTGATGACTGCACCGCGGCTGATGGCACTCCAACTACCAATGCGTTAGTGACGAGACACATCATAGGTCAATTTCCTTACGGTTTGTTGCCTGATCCTTGGAGAATCTCGATTCCTTTACCAATGATATCCTGAAGACGCGTCCGAAGGTAGATGCATCTACCGAAACCTCCAACCAAGATGATTTTCTGCAGTTTGATATTAGTACCCAACGGAAAACAATATCAACAGTTTCTCATACCTTGGGCTTCTTGTCTGTCTTTTTCAGGACAGCCCCAATCTGCTTCTGGACCAGCTCCGCTGTCTGGTCAATGATAGGATCGAAGACTGTAAGGAGGTCATCGCGGCTGAGAACCAGGTTCTGCTTGCGCTTCACTCCACGCTTTGAGGTGCCCGGAACGCGGCACTCAGAAGGCAGACCAAAAGAGAACTTATCACTCTGACCGTAGAAGCCGGTCTTAATGCCATTCTCCCAATCGTCGTTGAGAAGCTTCTTGGCTTCGTTCTTGGGCACATTGGCCCACGCCTCAGGTGTAACCTTCGTCTTGATGAGCTCAATGAAAGCTTCATCAAGGAAGACACCTCCGCAAAGTTCGCCATCCCCTTCGACTGCTTCACGAACCACGAAAGGTTCCATGCTGAGAATCTCATAGCTGATGAGGTCAACTGTACCACCTCCAGCATCGCACACAATGATGTGGTCACCAACCTAATAGTCGAGGTTAGAAAGACAGTGCACCACGTTTCAAGGGCTTCTCACGGAAATGTTGGGTCTTTTTTTTAAGTCCCGAACGGTTGCCAGAGCAGCAGCTTCAGGCTCAGAGATAAAGGACAAAGTTGTTTCGCCAGCAGGGCGTTCTTTCAAGATGCCCGCGCCCTCAACAGCCCTGCGCATCCGGGCCTTGGCATAATCCGGCCAAATAGCCGGAAGAGTGATGACGACCTGTAAGCGGCACATATCAACAAAGTCTTGACCATGTGAGGTAATGATGCATTCGACTGCATGGTCCCAGAAACGGGTGAGGTACGCGCTGATGACCTCAACAGGGTCCTTATTTTCTTCTTCCACCATCTTCCGAGCAGCAGCAATCTGCGGGGAGTCCTTCACCTTGTTGGGAAGGTCCTTCTCGTCTACCAGCAAAAGCTTGAACCATCTCATAGGCTCTTGCTTGGCGTTCGGGGGGATGCCATAACCCCAAGAAACGGTTCCGCGCTTTCCAGGAAATAGAATGGCAGAGGGTGCTTTCTCTTTGTCGGAGTTGAGGTTCAGCTTGGATTCCCATCGACTGATCACCTGAATTTCCTCGGGCTCTCTTGAGTGTGCGAAGCTTGCACCTGAGAAACTGCGTCAAGCATCAGTAGTGAGTTCCGGGAAGAGATCTTGCCATGAAACCCACGTAGTCCCAAAGTCTATGCCAACGATGATGACATGCTCATCGTCGTCGTCGCTTGAGTCGTTGGCCATTTTGGCAAGTGCGCTAAGCGGGAAGAGAGTCAGTCAGCTAACAGCGCCATATGTTGACAGATGAGCACTGGTGTCGGAGAGCATTCGACAAAGGCGAGATTTTGCACGTGTAGAGAAAATATATGCTTAAGGTGAAGCTTCATGAACTTACATACCTTATAGGCTGTTCTAGATGGAAGTATCCAGGCAGAGTAGGTGATTGTGAAAGCACTTGGTGATGTTGTGAAGAAGAGAGAGGGTGGTGGAGGGAAAGAAGAAAAAAAGCATAAAGATCAGATTTAAGTAGTAAGAGGGTGGAGAAAATTTGGTGGGTTTGTCTAGGTAGTCAGGAAAGAGCGCCTAGGCATCTAAAATGGAATTAATAAGTGAATAGAGAAGGTGTTCCTGCCTTTTGAGTGTTTTAAGCGAATGTAAATAGCCTCAATACGAGAAAGAGCTACCCCATCACTTATGGTTATCAGGCAGGAATGGAGGCTAACCTAGAACGCAACTTCTAGATTTGGCTAGCTAGTACAGAGTGCCCCGAAATCTTCCGGATAAATATCCTCCTTCCCCTCGCCTTTACAATATCTTCTCTTCTTTTCTTCCAACCCTCCATCTTTCACAAACAGCTAACTCACACTCAACAGTGGAGTAATACAAAGACACCATGGACTCAAAGGTGAAGAAGGTGAGCCTCAACATGATTGTCATTTTGAAACGGAAGGTGAAACATCTGCTCACCATCTAATTCCAGGAAGAGCAAGACCCTACGTCTTCACTAGACCGAATTCCATCCATTCCCCCAGAGGGAAAGCCTCAAGGGAAGAGCCTCACCGCTTCTGACACTCCTCCCACGCATCAGCAATCCCAGGCAAACCATTGCTCCGGCAAGAAGGATGCCTCAAAGATCATCCGCGGAAAGAACAAGACGATCAACAAACAGCGAAGAAAGATCAAGCAGCTCGGAAGAAAGCTCGAGGAGGTCAAGAAATACCGTCCAGCGGGACAAGACGCAAGAAACGCACGCCTTCGAGCGGAGCTCGACAGACTCAACAATGAGTTGACATCGAAAGAGGAGAAAATGAGAGGTGATCAGGAGTACGAGTCATATCTTGAGACATCTATCAGCTATTATCGTGGATTGCTTGACGAAGCCGACGAAAAGCACCTGCAGGAAGCTCAGAGAACTCAGGATCTGGAGGAACAAATTTCGCAACAGGAGGCAGGATACCAAGGGGCAATTCAGAAGCTCCGGGCAGACATCTTGAATCTCCAGAATAACAACAAGAAGCTCAAGTCCCAGCTGATGGAAAAGAAGGCGCTCATCGCAAAGGCCAAGTCGCTCGCAAGCACAAGCAAGGTCTCAGACGACGCGATTCTGAGTCTTTGGAAGAAGATGAAGTACAGCATCCAAAACATAGCCTCTACGATCCTTACGGAGTGTCCTTCATGGGAAGAGATTGAAGCCAACATCAAAGCCCCAGGTTGCTTGCTCAGCATATTGAGTAAACGCATTTATGGCTTTCTCCAAGACGAAGACACAAGATCCAGTGTTGTCGAGCTACTCATCTGGGACATGCTCTTGCGAGAAGTCTTCAAGCCATTCTCGCAGACGCTCTCAGGCGTGTGCTGGGGCGGTCTAGAGGGCGAATGCTTCTCTATCATGGTGGAGGGAATGGCAGGTAAGTTGACCACTGCTTGAAGATTGCCCATACCATGAACTTTGGACTAACAGTTTCCAATCAAGGCAATGCCTTGAAGAAGGGCGCAGACGCTAGATCGTTCTTCAAGTGGAAAGCTGAAGGAGGCAGAATGATTGACGATATGATCGGAGTCGACAAACAGAAGCTTAAGCAAGTTGCCGACGACCATGCTGCAATCTTCTACCTTTTTGTGCCTCGATACGGAGCTCACCAAAATAACGCTATGGACAGACTCTTCAAGAACCTTTGCAAGGTCATCGAAGATGCACTGACTCTTCATGGCATCTTCATGGCGTCCAAGGCACATTTCATGCTAGACCGGCCCCACGCTCCAAGTCGTGGCCGCCTCACCCGTTACGACTCTGACTGGATGGAAGCTGAGTCCTGGGTCAACGAACCTTTAGACAACCGGAACTCTCTGAAGTTCCCCATTTCTCCTGGTATCGTCAAGTACGGCACAGCGGATGGAGAACACTACGACCAGCAACTTCGATTGGTCAAGGCTCGTGTTGCTTGCAACTGAGAAATACTGGCTTGGACTTTTCATTTCTTTCTACAGCATCCGTTTGAGAGGATGCTCATTTGCAGCAAGGTTGCATATCATCCCATCGCGATTGGGAAATAATTTTTCAGGGAAGCGCAACGAGACAGCAACATAGCACTTGGCATCAGATAACATCATAGACAATTGCAAATCACGTATTCTTACATGCTGTGCTGCATTTCGAAATGACCCGGGGAAAAGTTCATGATGATGCGTTGAATTTATTGCGAGGTGACTGGATACAAACCTTGCATGCTCATGTCGGGACCTTTTGGACTCTGGGACAAACGCATAAGAAAAGATAGGTATGTGGACATCTTTTCAGGTTGTCAATGTCTGAAACTTGAGAGGCTATCAAGGTCGCCGCTTTTTCCTTCACCATCTTGGTCTCGTCCGTTTCCGAAAGCATTGCCACTTGAACTATATGACTACTGCCTCGCACTTGAAAATACCACCAGCGAAGATCTTCCAAAATCGCTTCCAAACCCAACCGTCTCGCATAATTCTCATTTCCCGCCTGTCACACTTGCCGCCCACCATGAACACAACCACCATCAACCCCTCCTCTCCCTCCAGGGAGCTTCTCACGCAATACCTCTCCCTCACCACCCACCTCTCGCCCTCCTCCGCGCCCCTCACACACGAACACCAAACCGACGACACCTCCAACACCGCCGACGCCGCAGAAATAGGCGAAGGTTGCTGCGCCACAATCTACGCCCTCTCCCCCTCCTCCATCGCCAAAGTCGCGAAGCCCAACAAGCAAAACGAGCTCTGGAACGATTTCGGCGCGCACCTATCCGTCTACGAGGCCATCTCCGCGATACCCACCGCCACACTCGTGCCCAAGCCAGCGTACTACCTCCACGCACAAGACGTAACCACCTGGCGCGCGGCGCAGGCCAGGAAGATACCCGGCGGTGAGCCGAACGACGTCCTCTGCGCTGAGCGCATCCCGCCCCTGCCGCGGGCCATCCGCAGATCCCTTGTCGACGTATTCTGCCCGAAAGAACAGACGGCGGAGGTGCTCGAGAACAAGAAGAATGACGCTTGTCTGGTGAGGTTGTACCTCGGACGCAGGCGGCCGAGCAGCCCCCACGCACAAGGCAAGTTCTCCCTGCGAAATTTCGAGCTTACACTCGACAAGATGGAGCTGCTCGGCCTGAACGCGATGCAGTTCGTCGCGCCTATAGCGGAGGCTTTGGCGGCGGTGCACTGGCAGGCGGGGAGCGACGGGCGCGACATCGAGTTCGTGCTCGGTGGCCCGCCGGAAAGGAGGATCTCTGCCGAGGGTTTTAGAGTGCTTGACAGCAATGTTCACACGCAGAGGATCACGACGTGGAGGAAGGCGGGGACGGTGGACGGGGTAGCGGGCTTGCAGCAGAGGAGCGTCTGCGTCTGGTTGTTGGATTTTAACCAGTGTTCTAGGATCAAGGCGGATGCGCAAGGGGTTCAGATGGCGGCGAACGCATATTGGGAAAATGATCCGTATTATCCACGGCCCACAAAGGACGGCGACAATGACAGCACCGAGGGAAAGATCTGGAGGGAATTCAAGAGGGTGTATTTGGCAAAGGGTAGGGCGATACTTGGAGAGGGCGCTACGCAGCCGGTGGGCTTCATTGACTCTCTTGAAGCCAGAGGACAAGAGAGACAGCAGGGCTTGGTCATGGCTGGGCCCCCCAAGGCAGCAAGCACTGGGCCAGGGAGTAGCTCCAAGAAAAAGAAAGGCAGGGAGTATGTCGGTTTCTGATCAGGATCAATCGCCGCACGACAACACAGGAAGATGGCCCGAGAAAGGACACCAGGACCCGGCATCACGGGTAGACGGTGACAAACATCGACGTTGGTGGTCAAACCAAGCACCGTCCGACCCCGGATTCCCACTCCCGATCCCCCACGCCGAGTCGGTGCCGGCCGATGATGTCCCACTGCGATGATAGGACCAGACCCCGGTCTCGCGCCATCGAAACGGCGCTTATCTCCGCTCGCGGCGAGCCCTGGCTCCCCCATCTCACTTACCCCAGCGGTTGTTCGCCTGTAGATCCATCGCGGATGGTCCCCTCACCAAGCGCGTCATAGAATAGCCTGGCAATTGCCGAAAAATATCGTGCAAAATTTCTCTTCCCTCGTGCCAAAGACTTCACCCGAGACATGTGTTCGCGACCAAACTGAGAGTTTCTTCTAGTTTGCAATCTTGGACTTGCCCGTTGCCCGCCCAGACTCTCGAGATCGCGCAGTGCAATGACTTCGTCACCTGCTCTAATCAATTAGCCTCCCCAACGGACTTCCGCGCGAGCGCTAACAAGCGGGAATTTCTCTCAAAGATAACGGCCTTTGAATGTGTTCCCTTTTGCGAAGGTTTTCATCACAAAAGAGTATTTGAAGCGGCTCTCAAAGGATTCGTTCTGCCGCTGTTCTACGGCGCAAGACGCAAGATGTTGGAGAAGCGAAACTCTGCTGATGGCGGAGGTGGTGACACGGACAGGGACATGGTTGTGGCGTCCGCCACTGCGGCAGCACCCGCCAAGGAAGCTTTCAGCCCGCAGGATTCAGCCCTGAACTCTCCCCGGGATGGCTTCGCTGACGAGAAGACGGAGAGGATACCGGACGGCGATATTGGGACGACGTCGCCGTCGTCGAGTTCGGACTGTGGTTCTCAGAGGGTTGGAGATGAGAAGGGACGGAAAGGAGTCTGGGACCTCGCGGTGAGGGTGTTGACTTGGACACCGAAGAAGCTTCGATATGACCCGAACAACCCTCCGCAATTTTCGCTGGCGCATAACTTTTTGTACGCTGTGGTGAGTGTCCTGAAGTGCGCCGAGGATGACAAAATACTGATGGGTGTAGGCGGCGACCTTTACCGTTGCGGTTTTGTACTACAACCAACCCGTGTTGAACAAGATTGCCGAAACATTCGACATCAGCTTTGAAAGGGCGTCGTCAGTTGCGACGCTGATGCAGGCTGGGTATGCCGCGGGCTTGCTCTTTATCTGCCCGCTCGGCGACATGGTAAGGCGGCGGCCATTTATCTTAATCCTCATCTGGGTCACGGCGATGCTGGTGAGTCTTCCGTCGCAAATATCGAGACAAACCTGACAGTATCCAGTGGCTCGGCCTCTGCGTGACCAACTCCTTCGCTGTCTTCTCCGCGCTGTCGTTCCTCGTGGGAGTCACTACCGTCACGCCGCAGCTCATGCTCCCTCTTGTCGCCGACATGGCCCCAGCGAACCGCAAAGCGAGCTCTCTCTCCATCGTCACGTCGGGTCTGATGCTTGGCATGTTGATCGCGCGTCTGCTCTCGGGAATCGTGGCCAACTTCACCTCGTGGCGCAACATCTACTGGTTCGCCTTCGGAACGCAGTACCTCCTCCTGATTCTGCTCTTCTTCTTCATGCCGGACTACCCGTCGACGAACCCCGACGGGCTGAATTACTTCAAGGCGCTGTGGACGATTGTGACCATGTTCTTTAGCTCGCCAATCCTGGTGCACGCCTGCCTGATCGGATTCTGTATCAGCTCCATCTTCACGTCTTTCTGGACGACGCTGACGTTCTTGCTGGCCTCGCCGCCATACGAGTATCCCTCGTTGACGATCGGTCTGTTCTCTCTCATTGGCATTGCAGCGATTTGCGGCGGGCCGGTGTATGGGCGGCTCATCATGGACCGGTACGTGCCATTCATGTCTTCGGTGCTGGGACAAACGGTCATCCTGATCGGGTGCCTTGTTGGTGCGTTCACGAGCACAATCACCGTGGCGGGGCCGGTGATCCAGGCGATCTGCATTGATATCGGCATCCAGACGGCGCAGACGGCGAACAGGACGGCCATCTATACCATCAACCCCAAGGCGAGGAACAGGGTCAACACAGCGTACATGGTGTCGGTGTTCTGCGGACAGTTGACAGGCACAGCGGTGGGTAACAGGCTGTATGCGCAAGGCGGCTGGAGGTACAGCGGCGGCGCAACCAGTAAGTCTATCTCTCTCATGCTTGTCTTGTGTGGCGAACTCGGTTCTGACGTGGCACAGTTGGGTTCATCGGGCTGTCTCTGCTAGTGACCCTGTCGAAGGGGCCCCGGGAAAAGGGCTGGATCGGATGGAGCGGCGGGTTGAAGCTGCGCAAAGACGAGGCCCCGGCACCGAAGCCGGTCTCGCCCGAGGACGGACAAGGGGCGGAGAAAGCTGTTGGGGAGGAGAAGGGCGCGGCGGTGACCGGGGCAGGCGGGGAGGAAAGCCGGCGATGACGAGCAGAAGGACGGTGAACGGTTTTCGGGGACCGGTGGAATGGCGTGTGTATGCAGGTCGGAAGTGTTGTTGACGGGGCTAATGCAACCCCAGATGAAGAACGGCCGCCGTAACGCCATGACTCGAAAATGGCCGTGTTGATGAATCTTTGATGACAGCAGTTGTTTGTCCATTGGTGTGGTGTTTTGGGTTCGGTGCTTGCCTTCCCATGCTTCTTTCCTCTTTTTTGAGGTGCCTCCTTCCATCTGCTTCCACCTCAATCGCACCTGCCTCTTCGCATCTTTGGCAGGTCCCGTGGCAACGGCAGGGTGCGGCACAGCGGCATGACCCCGGAAAGAGACCCGCCCAAACACCTGCCAAGACCCATAGTGAGGCCTTCCAGGGTGTTCAGAGTGGCGGAGTCTGCCTGGCAGTGCCTGGAAATGTCACTGGGCGAACTGTCCAGACCCCCCAAGGCACCCAGACAGGCGGCACGCTCCAAGCAACAGCCTTGAAGCCTCGAAACATGTCGCTGAAAGTCTCAGCGAAACACGGCAAAAACACCCCCGCAAACAACGAAAACTGGAACAGCGCAGCACCTGGCAACCGACCCTCCACTGCAAATGAGGCCCACCAGAATCACGTTTCCGGGGTCTTTGTGGCCACTGGATACCGACCGAATGGCGGATGCGACCCGACCCAACCACCCGCCAAAAAGCCAAGATCGGCAGCCCAAACGAGCGATTCTGCTGCA